TATGTATGTATATGTATATATGTGTGTGTGTGTGTGTGTGTATATGTCAAGTATATCAAGGAGAAGTTGAGAAATTGGCTGGAACAGAGAATCATGGCCTAGAATGCCAGGCTGAAGATATTGTCCATTGATTAGCAGGTGTTAGGGAGCCACAGAAGATTATAGATCATTAGGACAATGAAAGAGGTGTATTTCCTAAGATGGCTCTGATGACAGAACTGGCAGATAGTGTTTGTTTGTTTTTAAACAGTAGTTGAAGAGGGAGCATGGAGAATGAACATGAAGAAAATAGATCACTCTCTTTGGTGACCAGAAGCATTCAAAACCTCCCTAGAGAATACTTCTGGTACAATCAAGGGTTAGAAGTTGGATTTCAAAATCTTAAAGGGGGAAATGAAGGTATGGAAGGAAGGTCAGAAAGCATCAGGAACTTGAGGGCTCATAAGCCTGAAGGCAAAGCTTATGGAGTCTTGAGCATCTTGGAAGGTCGAGAGGAAGGGGCCCATGGAGAGGGAAACGTTGGAAATGAGGGCGAGAGCAGCTGATTCATAGAGTTCATGGAGGACACCACAATGGGACTCCGTGGGTTTTCCTTGGAAAGGAAAGTTTTTTATTCTTCTTTAGGGGGGATGGGACTAAAGGAAGAGAGATGAAAGGAATGAACCACAAGAAAAAGAAAGAGTAGAAATCTGTTCGGGCCTACAGGTGGTCTGTCTCAGCAGAATGCTCGCAACACCTTGAAGCTCGCCCATAGCCCAGGGTTCTTCCGTAAGATTTATGGCCCTACCAGTTCTCTTCAGCTTCAGTCAGAGACAACCTGACAGTGGCAGCAGCTCAGCCCTTCTCGCAGCAAGCTGACACCATTTCTGGTGGGCTTTAAACAAGTATAAACCGTTCTCCCCCGACAACAGGCTCCACTGGGCACCTAGACAGCCTCATTACACAACCAATTAAACTGCCATCACTCGAAAGGAATGGATGGCAGCGAAAGGTCTACTTGAGTACATTTTGCATTTCCACATTCACACCTATCACAGTCTTCAGCCAAGGGTTCCCAGCCATTGCAAGGGGAAGATGTAAACATGATTCACCTTCTCTAAGGCGGAGTCCCAGAAGATCTTACCAGACAGTAGGCCGGATCCCTCTGTCTTTGGGAATACAAAAGTGTCCAGACAGCTGTGTAAGGTGTGGAAGCTTAAACCTTTTGCTTTTTTGCCTCCATCTGGCCACTAGCATGTCAGCTTCTCTGTGTCTGGCCGTTCTGGTAGCTCCTGAGGGAGGCTCCCCGGATATTGAGCATAGTAAGCCAGAGTATGGGTTTTCCCCATAGAAGGGCTCCCGTCTTTTTTGTAAATATATCTTTTAGAAACTAATTTAGCTGGTTCCACTTAAATGACCTGGGAAATGACCCAGTAGAAGGACTGAAGTGGGGGAGAGAGGGATGTGCGGCAGGTATCACACTGCAGCAGGAGTGGCCACACTGGGCCTTTTTCCTCCTGCAGGAAAATGTTGACTTTCTAAGTGTAACGCACTTTCCCATCTACTTACTATGTTATTTAAATAAATTGCTTTGCTCTTGAGGGACCTTATACTCTTTGGTTAGTGAGAAACTCGTAGATTGGAGTCAGAAGGAGCTGTCAATGTGGAATCTAATAGAGTTTCCGTGTGGGAATATTAGGGGTCAGGAGCAACCTCACATTAGTTATCGCATCTTGTCATTAGATGACATGGATACTACTATAAAGAGGAAGTCTGGGGAGCACAAAGATGAAAGCGATAAATTGGCTAGAAGAAGTAGATTTCAATGTGAAAACAAGTGCTTCTATTCACGATGTGAACACCGAGCAGCTCTACGGACCGCTCAGACTTTCCGCTTCACTTGAACCTCTCTCCCTTTTCCTCCTTTACAATATTGTCAAATTTGGATTGTTCATTGGTTCCTTTTCAACAAGGTCAGCTCTTCTTCCCTAGTGCCCCCAGATGACAAGGGTTCAGTGCCAGCAGGGTAATTTTAATGCTGGCCTAAACAAACTTAATTAAGGAAACTGTCCTGTTGCCAACAATCACCTAGCACATTCTGAAGCCAAATTTAAAAGGGCTTGTGGATATTCTTTTGTTTGTTATTTACTATATTACTGTTTTCCTTCTTTCAGAAGGCAATACAGGAGCTTATTATTATGCTGATTCATACCCTGACCCCCTGTGTGACTTTGAATTACTTAACATTTCAGAACCTTAGTTTCTCTGAGGTAAAATGGAGATAATAATGGCACTCGCCTCTGAGGACGGTTGTGGGCGTTCAATAGGCTGACCACTGAGTGCATTGCACTCAGAAAGTAACAGTAAGCATGAAATAAATTATTATTTTGTCTTACGATGACTTAAAGCAAATATGTAATGAATTGAATGTGCATGTGTGTGTTTGAGGGTTGATTCAGTCCATTTGTCCTGGTTAAAGGGGTTTTGAAAAGGAAAACATAAATGTGAGGACAGAAGATAAGTAAAAAAAAACATTTCCTATGTAAATTTTAAGATTTCGTAATTAAGATTGTAAGCTAACAATGAGAGGGTCCTAACAATATGCTGTTCAAAGTCTTCAAAGCTCAAGACCAGACTATATGGGACTTTTGTGTTTTGTCACCCCAAACTTATTAATATTACTATTGCTGACAATATATATTTTTTTCAGTGCGTCAATGCTAGCACCCAGCAGTCTACGTTGGATATTAGCTGAGGTATGTAGCATCTCATTTCTTTTTGAGTAATTTCTCGATGGACACCTCAGAAGAGTCAGCACTTGGATTCCTGTGAAAATATAATCTCTTGGGCCTCCATCCTTAGAGATTCAATTCAGGGAGATTGCAAGGAGGTTCAGGAACTATGAGCACCATAGGTGATTAAAACCCCAAGGTCCCAGTCAGAATTTGAAAACCATGCATTACTGGAACCCACCATCTCCCCAGGCCAATGTGCCCTTGTCTATCCTGTGTTGCCCAAAGAACTCAAAAACACTCCGTGGTCTGAGATCCCTTAGCATGCTTTTGTGTCCTTGAATTGGCGTGGCTTTAGAGCACCAGGACACTTCTGCTTGTCTCCTGTAGAGCAGGGATGAATGAGTCCTTAAGCAAAGTTTGCCCTCTTCTCCTACCATGAGCTCTGCCCCACAAGCACCTGGCATCATTACCATAATTGTCTCCCAACTTCTGATTAGATACAAACATGACAGTAGCAATCATCTTTCATCTTCAACTTGTAATTGGATGCAATATGGTGATTATGCATCCTGATCGAAGGGCATTTCCATGAGATAATAAGTGCTCATAATAGCAATCTCCTTGGGATGCTTTTGCTTTTGCCTTTTAGTGGCAAAACTGTCCAAACTTCCCTTTCTCCAAAGGGAAAGCACTTTAGCATGCTGCTGATTTTGCTGTGATTTTTCTCATCAAACATGCATGCACACAGACACACAGACATTCTTATTGGTGTATTTCTTGTTAATTGGCTGCCTCTCATGGCTAGTTCTTCTCAGGCTCTCTCCTCCTTCCAACAGTTCATTTAATCCTCAGGTCACTTAGAATGCAATTGAGAAAAATGATCCATAAGTAATTTCTTTAGAGACTCATTTTTATTCTCTATCCATATGTAGCATCTCTTTTCCTTCTTTTGATCTCTTTCCTCATGGTTTCTTCCCTCTGTTAATAGAATTGCATCCGTGGATGTCTCACTCTCTTCCCACCCCTCTCTCTCTCTTCATCTGTAATTGGGGAGTTATCATGGCAGAGTGTAAAAAGCCCAGGCTCAGATCATCCAGTTCTGCCACTTCCTAGCTGTGTGAACATGGGGAAATCATCTCATCTCTCTGAGCCTAAGCTTTGTTTTTTGTCGGTAAATGGGAATTGGTGTGCTTATGGTATTGGGCCCTTTACAATATTGTTTGGAATAATAAATTACACTTATGGAAGGGAGGCTCAGAGTGAGCACCTACTTGTTATTGTTTTAATACTGATAACACAGACTTTTTTATGGTTTTGTTCTGTTTTAATTAGTTAATGTACGTAAGTAGCTCAAAACAGAACCTGGGTAGTTGCATAACAATTAACTGTCCTCTTCCCATTTGCTTTTTAAAAAATTAAATCCATAAAGTGTAAGAGGAGGAATCAACACTCCCTGGATGCAGAGGCCAAGATTTAAGGATGCCTCATATAAGGCCACCCTGAGTTAATGCAGTTGAGTTGTCAGTTGTTTCCAGTGTACCTGGCCTAATTGTTGCCACAGACAACAGCCCACACACTGCTCCATAGAAGTCCCTGCCTTTCTCTCTTCGAGGCCCAGGCCCAGTTCTGGCAACCCTTACTTTACCTTCTCTATCATTCTCTGTGGCTCGGTGATGTTGACACAAAGGTCATTGTTGGCAATCATTGCCTGCCTTCTGCCTCATTCTTTTCTCATGCTTGTGTCTCTTTTCCCTGTGTCACCCTCCTGGTGGCATTCAAGGCTGAAGAAGATGCTAAACTCAGTGTTATGTTCCTCTGCCACCCACCATGTGTTGAATTTTTATTTGATTTTTTAGCTGACTTTTCTCTAATTGAAAAAGATCATGGCATATCAGAGTTTGGAGGACATTTAGAGATCATAAGTGTAAGCCACTCATTTTGAACTTAAGAGAATTGAGTCTTAAAGATGTTAACTTATTTGTTCAGAGACAAGCAGAAGATTGACAACCCAAAGCTGGGGCTAGAGTCCAAGTCCTTGATAGCTGCTCAAGTGCTTATCCCTCCATAGCATAGTACCGATGCTTTAAAGATCCTCGTATTAAGCTGTAATTTACAAAAATCTTATTTATTTATTTATTTATTTATTTATTTAT